TGATGTGGGCGGGCTGGCCAGCCGGGTGCATGTGGCAGAGAGGCGGCGGAGGGAGGGAGCCACTGCAGCTGCGGCCACAGCAGACCCCCCCCACAACCAGGGTCCAAGGAGCCCCCACTGACCACCAGGGAGCCCCCACCGACCACCAGGGTAAGGTAAGGTGACAACATTTTTAACATTTTTAAATGTCCCCGGGAACATTAAAATACATTTTTTTTAATACTCACTTGATACCTGGATCCATCGCCAAGTGTGCAGCTCCTGAGAAGATATGCTATTAGTGTAGCGGGCACTATGCAAAATGTGCAGCCAGCTTTCTCGCTACGTTAATAGCGTATCTTCTTAGAAGCTACACACAGTGCGTGCAAGCATCTGACAGCGTGGGAGACAGGAGGCTGCACCTGTCGGTGGATCCAGGGATCAGGAAAGTATTAAACAAAAAAAATGTTCGCCTGGGACATAATTTGTCAGGGGACGGTCTCCTCAATCCGGGGACTGTCCCCAGAAATCGGGGATGAATGTAGAGCTGCAACAACTAATCGACTAAGACGATTATAATCGATGATTGAAAAAGTTGTTGTCCAAGTTTTCAATCATAGATGGTGGGACTTGCCAGATTGGTATCCAGCAGCCGGCAGGCCCCCCTTCTCTGAGTCGGGAGTGTCGGATCATCTGTTCATCCGACACTCCCGGCACAGAAATGGGGGGCTGCCAGCCGCCGGATACTGATCTCAACATGTGACACTCCGACACGCTGAAAGGGGGGGGGCCTGCCCGCCGGCCGAATACCGAGATAGTATGGGGCCCACTGGCCACTGTGAGGAGGGAGCCGCGGAACAAGGAGGAACTGAAGACGGCCCTGCAGGCACATCATGGGGTAGCCATGGGGCTTCGGACGGCTGTGAGGAACCAGCAAACAGAACACACACAGGAAACAGCTGAAGACAGAAGACCAGCTAGAAGAGGTGAAGGTAAATAATTCATTAAAATAATTATTATTTGTAGCCTAATGTTGTATAAAGTACTGTTGGTATTTGTAGTGCTCTATAGCAAGTGCCATTCTGCAAAGCTGTAAATATTAGGGATACACCGATATATCGGCCGCCAAAACATATCGGCCGCCAAAACATATCGGCCGAAAATGGCACTTTTGGCTAAATGCCGAAATTGCCATTTTCCTGCCGATACAGCGGCGCATCCATTCATTCTCTCCTCCCTGCTGGGTGCTCCTCTGTGTCCCAGCGGGGAGGAGATAAACTGTGACAGCCGCCCGAGCGCTGCGGGAGGAGAACACTGATTTTTTTGTGGTTGCTTCAGGGGGTGTGGATTGGGGGGTTTGTGTTTTGGTTTTTTTTGGGGGGGGGACTCTTGCACCGGGGTCCTTTGTTCCTTAGGTCCACCACTGGAGTCTAAGGTTCATCTTATCTTTGTTAAGGAAATGAAATGAAATGATCCACACTCACCAATACATCATGGTGAGAGACGCTTGGGCATAAATTATGGAAATGCAAACTAGCAGAGTTACAGTATTATGGTGCTCATAAACTTCTCAGTCTTATCCAACTATCCCACTCTGTTTCATTAAAATATTATTAATCTACTGAATCTTACCTGCCTTCAAAATGAGCTAATTTGTAATAACATATTGTGAAGGCATTTATATTGTCTGAATCATCATATAGAACTAATTATTATTTGCAAATATGGTATAAATACATTGTACAGGACACCGGGGCTGGGTCCTGGAAGGACGATATATTTCCCCTCTGTTTGGACTGTGGTTACTTTAAAGGATGAGATGAGGTTAACTCACCTGCTGGAAGAAGTGTGGGTTTAAAAGACAGGAAGTGGTAGCTAGCAGGTGAGGAGAAGTGTGGAGGAGGTTGAATAGTGGGGATCTGTGTACTGCTGTGAGCTTGAATGTTAGTAATTTTGCTGGAAATCTGTAGACTGGGAAAGTTACCCTTGAAGTCTGGGACTGTTTAAACTGCGATTGCAGCTCTGAAATCTTCATGTCGGTGAGACTGTTCTTTTGTGTTGTACTGAAGAGTTGCTGTTTGAGTTGGCAAGCTGGTCAGTGAAGATGAACTGTTTTGTTATTTTGCTGCTGTGCAGCTATTTAAGTTAATAAACGTTACTTTATTTGCAAAGCCTGTGTCCTGCGATCCTGCTGGATTCCCCTCACATTACAACTGGTGCTCGAATGCGGGCAGGACAGAGTAACAGGCACAGACACTGCATTGGATTCAAAACTGACATTTAAAGGGACAGTGCACTTGATTTATGTCCTGGATTAAAGCTGTGCAGACCCCAAAGGCTGACCCAATGGAGGAGCTGATTAAACAGCTGACCCTGGCTAACATGGAAGCTCAGACTCGCCATGAGGAAGCTAATCAGCGCCTAGCAACCCAGTTGGAGGTACAACAGGCTCACCATAAGGAGGCGCTGGCTCAGCAACAAGACAGCACTCGACTGTTGGTGGCCCAGCTGGCAGCCCAGCAAGGGACTATACAGACGAAAGGTTCTTGACCTGGCCCATAACGATGTTTTAGGCGGACACCTAGGAGTTGAGAAGACGGAGGCACGGATCACCGACCGGTTTTACTGGCCAGGTCTGAAAGCAGAGGTAAAGAAATACTGAACCTCTTGTCCCACCTGTCAGTTAACCACTCCGGTGACTCACTTCCGTAGCCCTTTTGTCCATTTGCCCATAATTGAGGTTCCGTTTGAATGGATAGCCATGGATATAGTGGGTCCCCTGGTAAAGTCTGCTCGAGGTCACGCCTACATACTGGTGATCCTTGACTATGCCACCCGATATCCTGAAGCACTGCCCCTGCGGAATACTGTTCCGGATTAAACAGCTGCGCACATCGTTATACCATCCACAGACGGACGGCTTGGTAGAACGCTTTAACAAATCCCTTATGTCCATGCTTAAGAGAGTAGTACAAAAGGATGGGAAAGACTGACCGCCTGTTACCGGCACTCCTGTTTGCCATTCGAGAAGTGCCACAGGCCTCCACTGGATGCTTGCCCTTTGAGTTAGTGTATGGGCGGAAACCCCGTGGGTTACTTGATCTTGTTAAGGAGGAATGAGAAGCTAAACCTATTCAACATCAGAGTGTTCTTGAATATGTCTCCCAGATGCAGGAAAGGATCGCCAGTGTGATGCCACTGGTTAAGGAACACTTACAAAAAGCCCAGGAGGCTCAACGGTGGGTCTATAATGGGTTTGCTAAAGCAAGGCTCTTCCAGGTGGGGGACCGGGTGGCGGTGCTGATTCCCACTGTGGAAAGCAAATTCTTGGCCAGATGGCAGGGTCCCTTTGAAATTGTGGAAAAAATGGGGGAGGTAACTTATAAAGTCCACCAGCAGGGCAAGAGGAAACCTTACCAGATATATCATATCAACTTGTTAAAGCTCTGGACAAACAGGGAACCGGTAACATCCCTGGCTGGTGCAAGACTTGAGCTTCAGGTTGGTGTGGACAGCGTCCAAGTAGCAAATAACCTGTCTAAAGCACAATCTCAGCAAGTAAAGGAGTTCTTGTAGAGAAATAAAGAAACATTTCAGACTTGCCAGGTCTAACTAATGTCATAGAGCTTGTTATTATCACTGAATCAGGGGTCAAAGTTTATGTCTGGCCGTACTGGATACCGGAGGCTCAGAGAAAGGCTGTCTCGGATGAAGTGAGGAAGATGTTAGACCTGGGAATCATTGAAGAATAGCAGAGTGAGTGGTCGAGCCCGATTGTGTTAGTACCGAAACCCAACGGAACTCTGTGATTTTGCAATGACTTCCGGAAACTTAATGAAGTTTCCAGATTTTATGCCTACCCCAGATTAACTTATTGAGAGACTAGGTCTGGCCCGGTATATTACTACATTGGACCTTACCAAGGGGTATTGGCAAATCCCCTTGAGTAAGGCTGCCAAAGAGAAAATGGCTTTCTCTACCCCAGAGGGGAGTTTTCAGTACAAAAGAATGCCTTTTGGACTGCAAACTGCTCCCGCA